AACCTCTTGAGGTTTATTATCGTCGTCAGTTTTTTAATCATCGGCAGTGGTCGATAGCAGCTCCTGAGCTCTCCGGGAACACGGCGGCACGCAAATGATACGCATGTTTTTGAAAAATTTCATTTTGGAGAAAAAAAATATTTTATTTAATTGCGAGTTCCATTGAAATCTTTTCGAATTTGCGAAATCGAGCCGTCAGGCGCTTGAATGCCGCACTGCGTTCGAGATCTAGGCGAAAGCGTGTGCGACGCAGTTTTCTCATGACACGCATTTTTTTTTTGAACAACCTTATTTTGACAAAAAATATTATATTTGGTTGCGAATTCCATTGAAATCCTTTCGAACTTGCGAATTCGAACCCGCACGCACCTGAATGCCACACTGCGTTCCATATTCGGGCAAAAGCGCGTGCGACGCAAATTTCTCATAAATGCGTCGCGTGCTTAAATCTCGAACGCAATGTGGCACTCAAGCGCCTGACGGCTCGATTTCGCAATTTTGAAAGGATTACAATGGAATTTGCAATTAAAAAAGTTTTTTTTTTCAAAATGAAGTTTTTTTTTCAAAAAATGCGTATCATTTGCGTGCCGCCGTCTTCCGGGAGAGCCCAGGAGTTGCGATCTACCACTGCCGATGATAAAAAACTGCCGACGATGATAAACCTCAGCCGATGATAAAAAACTGCCGACGATAATAAACCTCAGAGGAGCGCACGGCGGGAGAGAGAGAGAGAGAGTCTCACCTCTCTCTCTCTCTCTCTATCCCTCCCTCCCTCCCTCCCTCCTTCTCTTTCTCTCACTATCTCTCTCTGCTCAAGGTGAGCTGCTGAAGCAGAGCTGCTCAAGCAGATGGCTGCTCAGAGAGCAGAACCAGACAATGAGACCTTCGAGAATATAAAACACAATTATTTCGAGGATGTCTCAAGCGAAATAAGCAATAGTTTGACGGTGTCTCAAGCGAAATAAGCAATAGTTTCAGGATGTCTCAAGCGAAATACGCACTAGTTTCAGGATGTTCAGGCGAAATCAGCAATAGTTTGATGATGTTTCAAGCGAACAACACAATTATTTCGAGGATGTCTCAAGCGAAATAAGCAATAGTCTGACGGTGTCTCAAGCGAAATAAGCAATAGTTTGTGGATGTCTCAAGGGAAACAAGGGATTTGTCGAGGATGTCTCCAGCGAGATAAGCCATTGTTGAGGATATTTGAATGAAGACTAAACGCCAAGGATGTCTCAAAACGTGCTCGGTTTGGTCTCCTTTTGATCATCTCTTACTTCGAGATTATGCTGAGGTCTGGTGGGCTGCTTTGATTATCTCCCCCTGAACCCCGAACTTTATTATCTCCTAGTGCTTATTATCGTGAGCATGGGGTTATCAAAAATCATAAGTTTTCAAAAATCCCTTGCAACAGGTGGGACGAGGTGCACACGCGCGCGTGGTCGCGCGCGCTTGCCGGAATCCTTCAAAAACTTGCGGTTACGGAGGGATTTCGCTCTCGCCTGTCCTTTTTACCTAACAGCGAAGACTGATAGGTTTCTAGTTGATTCAAAAGAGCTCACAGATCACTCCACAGGGGGGTCCGGGCGGGTGCCGGACAGGGTGCCGCAGAAGTCGTTTTAAGCCAACAGTCACACACTTCGTGCTCTTCGACCTCCCAGAACTCCATTCCCGGGCCACATTCTGAATGCCCGGAGCCAACTGTAGGCCACTTCGTGCTCTTCGACTTCCCAGAACTCCATTCCCGGGCCACATTTTGAATGCCCGGAGCCAACTGTAGGCCACTTCGTGCTCTTCGAGTTCCCAGAACTCCATTCCCGGGCCACATTTTGAATGCCCGGAGCCAACTGTAGGCCACTTCGTGCTCTTCGAGTTCCCAGAACTCCATTCCCGGGCCACATTTTGAATGCCCGGAGCCAACTGTAGGCCACTTCGTGCTCTTCGATTCCCAGAACTCCATTCCCGGGCCACATTTTGGATGCCCGGAGCCAACTGTAGGCCACTTCGTGGTCTTCGAGTTCCCAGAACTCCATTCCTGGGCATGATTTTGAATGCCCGGAGCCAACTGTAGGCCACTTCGTGTTCTTCTAGTTCCCAGAACTCCATTCCTGGGCCACATTTTGAATGCTGAGGCAGGCTGATGCTGCGGCTGAGGCAGGCTGAGGCTGAGGCAGGCTGAGGCTGAGGCCGAGGCTGAAGGCAGACTGAGGCTGAGGCTGAAGCAGACTGAGGCTGAGGCTGAGGCAGGCTGAGGCTGAGGCTGAGGCAGGCTGATGCTGAGGCAGGCTGAGGCTGAGGCTGAGGCTGATGCAGGCTGAGGCTGAGGCAGGCTGAGGCTGAGGCCGAGGCTGAAGGCAGACTGAGGCTGAGGCTGAAGCAGGCTGAGGCTGAGGCTGAGGCAGGCTGAGGCTGAGGCTGAGGCTGAGGCTGAGGCAGGCTGAGGCTGAGGCTGTGACTGCGACTGCCGTTGCCGCTGCGACTGTCATCGCGAATGCGACTACGACTGCGAGAACAGCAGAATTCTACAACTGGATTTTCATCTGAATCTTAAGGGGAATGCTTTCAGATCTGCTTCTACACATCGCTGTTAGGTTGCTTTGCCGGGATAATTTTATACATATATATATATATAAAAAAAAAAAACATGAGCGCTCTTGCGAATTCTTGAAAAAACAATGTTTGTTCAACATGTTCAGAGAGTGCTACCAAACGGGCTTCGCGCGCGCATGTCGAAATCGTTCGGACGCCCTTTGCGTGCATGCCGTCGCGAGGATTCTTTGCAACAAACAGGACGAAGTGCACACGCGCGCGTCGTTGCACGCGCATGCCGAAATCCGTCAAGAACCTTAGGTCTCGTAGCGATTTCAAAACCGAATGTCCCAAATGTATTCAAACACACATGGTTTCGCAACATCAATTTTCAAAAAAACTTGCGCGCGGGCTCTTGCGAATTCCCCCAAAAAAAACCAGAGTTTGTTGAACATTCTCACTGAATTCTGCCAAACGGGCCTCTGGCGCCGCATGCCGACACCAGTCGCACGCCCTTGCGCGCGTGCTTGGGGGGGCACGATCCGTGTCAAATAAATCCATGGTGGCCATTCTCGCGCGTCGGAACTCTTTCCAAAAGCTTCATCACCGACGCGAGGACGCCGTCATCGTCGTCGGCGTGATCAGCATCGGCGCCGGCACTGGGCGCGCCTTCGTCGGTGCGAACATCGTCACCAGCATCGCCACTATCATCATCCTGTCTACCGTTGCCAGCGTTGCCATGATACCGCGCCCGCCCACATCGCCGACTCGCAGTGAAGTGCCCGCTGGGATGCGCCCAGCGGTCACCGCCACCGCGGCCGCGTCGGCGTTGCCAAACTAGCTGGCCGCTGCGCGCGCGTGCTAGGATTGGCGCGGCCGCAGAGGTATACCAGCCAACGCCAAGCATGCACCGCAATCGCCACCGCGTGGGTTTTGCAAACCAAGTCGCGGGTGGGCGGGTGGGATGTTTGCAAAAGCATGGGATGTGTCAACTCGTTCTTTTAAACCAATGCACCACATAGACTACACTTTCAATTGTATCGAGCCGCATAAATAGCACCGCATCGATTGTTTGAAACACACGGTTTGGGGAACAAGAGACCGCATATCATGATGGGTTCAGAGAGGAGGATAAGTAGGTGTGGGTCCAGTTGTACAGTAGTGCCTTGTGATGACGCCGTCATGCGTGATTTGTTTCGCGAAGCTTTGTTAAACGGTCGGTAGGGACGCATGGCTAGCGTGTAGATTTGTGTAGGTAGCTGCCCACTTTCGGGATTGCATGCTTTGTGGCCACGGGCGTTAAAAGGGGGGCCATGTTGAATTCATGCGCGACTTTCGATTTCCATGAAAAGTCAATTCCCGCGCCACCTTCTGTGAACTCTAGAGATTCTCTGCTTTGGTCCCTTTTAAAGCCTTGCGTTGCTTTTAGAGGCTTGCCGGAACCATCGGAGACATTCGGGGGCCAACGCGAAGAGGCCCCCAAAGGCTTAAAAACATGGGCCCGCACATGTGTTACGCAGGGAGGCCCATTTCGGCGCACCCCTCGGATTTCGGGCCCGGAGGCCTGGGCGCTGACATTGGGTTACCCAGGGCGCTCGAAACATCAGAGGCATCCTTGGACAACGGCGAAGACCTTTTGCTTCGACCGTAGCGCCCCCGTCCCCTCGAATAGCAGCGGCCACCGACACGCGCTCTGCCGAAAGGCACCTGCTCCAGCGCCAGCCTCGCACGGGGCTCCCGGCGGCTGCTTCCCAGACGTGGGCCGTGGGAGGCCGCCTCGCACGCTGGTGCCGCTCCGTCGTGGTGAGAGGAGCTCACGAGCATGGCCCAGGGCCAAGAGGGTCGCATCGTCGCCCGGGCGGGCAATTCGCTTGTCGGTGCCCCCGTTTAGCTTTATCGCTGGTGCAGCCATTCTGCTCCGCCGCCGACGGAAAACATGTTTTGTCTTGGTGTGTGTGTGTGGGGGGGGGGGGTAGGGGGCGGCCCTGGGCCGCATTGTTCCCGCATTTCGGCACGTTGCAGTTGTGATTTGTGATTTGCATCGCTGGTGTTCAGAACCTTTTTGGGTTCTTTGGTTCTCGAGAGGGCCTTGCATCAATCGACGCTGCAGTACGGAGAATCCAGGTTTTCATGTGCGACACTTGTGCTTCCCAGCTGCGTAGTCTCCGACGCATCTCCCCATGACATGATTCAATTGCCGTCATGTGCGATTGTTTTATTTGATTTCTACGCAACATCGCAAGAACTTCGGAAGCGCATGCATCCGCAAACAAGCACATGCCTTTCGATGCGGTGCACATTTCGAAGGTTGACACGACGTTATGATGATATCTGGCAGGCGTTAGTTGTTCATATTTCTCATCACTGGTGCACCTTGGTCGGCGTGCAGACCAGAATGTAATAGCTGATTGTTAATGTCTGCAAGGTTTATTTGGTACTTTCTCTAGGAAGTCTCCCCAACTGGCAGCCGCATGGCTGCTGCCGCTGTGCAGCCCAGACTAAGCGGCGCTGGCACTCACGAGGTCGCAGCGGGTATGCTGGGCGTGTTGGTTGAAACGGGAGCTCGGGCAAGGGCTTGCGTAAGATGGAATGACATGGTGCATGTGTGCGTGTGTTTCGCGTTCATGTGTTTGCTGTACCACGCACCCTACGATGCAGCTAACATTTTTCAGTATTCGTCACAAGCGATTTCATCGTCGTTATCTTCAACATCGTCACCACCACCGTCGTCATCATCATGATCACCATCACAACCACTGCTACCACATGTTTTCACCACTGTCACCACCACACAGTCATCATGGAAAGTCTGAAACATTAGCAGCAATGTGAAAGCTCACTATTGGAGGATATGGAGAACCCAAATCGTGAAATGTCTTTGTCTTAGCTTCTCCAGGGTAGCACATATTTCGCAACTGTGGCACGGAACGCGTTGCAAATCCATGGCCCATTGACGCAGGGGAGCCTTTTAGGGTCCATGTGATCCCGAGTGTTGTCTGGCAGCGACAGGACATTTACAATTTGTAGAGGGTGTTGAGGGGCCAATGGCAAAATTTGCTGTCGTCACATCTTTCTGGTGCTTCGGCTGATGCAGATGTTACATCCCATCACATCACATGTCGCCGCGCCCTTCGTTCCGCCGCGCGGCCTCCCGTCTTCGAGAGAGCGCCGTGGCCACCAGGGCCGATGCCGCCCTGGACGCGGTGGGCTTGCCGTGGGGCTTGCCGCGGTGCCGGCGTTGTCTGCTTGGGCGCGGGGCGCAGTGCTTGCCGTGGGTTTGCCGTGGTGTCGGCGTCGTCCGCATGGGCGCGTCAAGAGCGGCGACACGGGCAGAAGCGTCTGAAATGTCTGGCGGGCTGCGCCCTGTGCCGCCGGCCCCTTCCGGGCTGAGCCATCTCGGGGCAAGGTTGGGGGCGGCATTGGGGCGTCTTGAGAGCATCTTGGGGCCTCTCGTGCCACATCTGGTCGGTCTTGGGCAATGTCAGGAGCTCCTGTGGCCTCCTCCTCCACCTGCTCCTCCTCGTTATCATGATTAGCATCGTTGTTACGCATTGTACGGCCCCATGCTGGCGCCCAGAATGCGAGTGAAATGGATGGTTTTCTCACACGGTTTTCGGGGTGACACGTGACCCGCGTGTTGTTTCACACTGTAAGGCCCCATGCTGGCGCCCAGAATACTAGTGAAACACATGTTTTTTCTCACACGGTTTTCGGGGTGACGCGTGTCACCCGTGTGTTCTTTCACATGGCATGGCCCCATGTTTGCGTCGAGAACACGAGTGGAACAACTGTTTTTTCTCACACGGTTTTCGGGGCGACACGTGACCCGTGTGTTGTTTCACATTGCGTGGTCCCTTGTTGGCGTCCAGAATACGATTGAAATTATTTGTTTTTCTCACACGGTTTTCGGGGTGGCACGTGTCACCCGTGTATTGTTTCACGTTGTGTGTGTGTGTGGTGATGGTGGTTGTGGCGTTGGTTTCCTCAGGGGTCCCTTAAGGATTTCCCAGGGACCCCCTAAGAATGTCCAGAAGGATTCCTAATAGTGTCCTCCGGATTTATCTGGACTCCCGAAGGATTCCTAAGGATTCTCTGAGGCTTCCAACGGACTCCTTAGGTGTTTCTAAGGATTCCTTAAGGATGTCTGGGGTTCCCGAAGGGTTCCGGGGGGATCCAAGGATTCCTTAGGAATCCGTTGGGATTTCTAGGGGTACCCTAAGGATTCCTCCGTGTGCCTTAGGAATTCCGAAGGATTCCCTGAGGGTTCCTCAAGGGTCCCCCAGAGGTTCCCCAGGGATTCCATAAGAGATTCGTAAGCCCCCCCCCCCTCCCCGCCCTTTCCCCCCTCCCAATGGTTCCCCACGGAGTTCCTTAATCTTTCCTAAGGATACCCAGGGGTCCCTGAGGATTTCTGGAGGACTCTTAAGGTTTCCTTCGGATTTCCCCAAAGACTCACAACGATTCCTAAGGAGTTCGTAGGGGCTCCTTATGGTACCCTACGGATTCCTTAATATTCCCTAACGATTCCTTTCGGATTCCCAAGGGCTTTCTAAGGAGTGAGCCAAGTGAGGGCTTAGGGTTTAGGGTCCACTAGCCCAAACTTGAAGCCTGTTGGACGTGTCCCACTCACCCATGACCCAAGACATATTGATCCCAAAACGACGACGACGATACCGATGACGAAGACGACGATATTGATCTCAAGACGACGACGGCAGTCGCGCAAAGTCTTCTGGGAAGCCGCTGCAATGGCGATGCGGCACGCGCGCGCGACGACGCGATTTGAAGAACAACGTATATTTACGCGAGTCCCTGTGCGTCGCAGGGACGCCGCCCAGCGGCGGTGAGATTGCATGGAGTGGCTGCGCAACGAGCGCGGGACAGCTCGGTGCCTCGAGGAGACGGATTCCCAGTTCGCATCCTTAGCACTGCGGCGCGGTGCGCGAAAGCCGATCCAAGGGCGATGCGACGCGCACGCGAGGCGACAAAAACGAGTTGCTCCCCGCAGCAACTTACCGACGCCTTGGCGATGCATGCCCCGGCTTGCCACGGGTCGCGCGGGAGTTTTGCAAAAGCTCTCAGAACACAATTCCTGGCATTCCGAGGGCAAGGATATGCGTGAGGGGTGCGCCGAAATGGGGGGCGGCGGAAGGGGCGCCGTAAGGGCGCCATAAGGCATTTCAGGATTTAAATATTTATAGGCTCTTAGTTCTTGGGGCCTCGTTGGGCGGAAGCAGCTCGACCCCCCCCTCCTGTCTAGGTCGGGGGGGTCGGCTGCTCTTCGTTCCCGTCCCCACCCCCCGCCCAGAAGTATTCCTTTAGGGTTTAGGGTTGTTCTACCCCCCTCGCCCCCCCCTTCTCAGGAGGGGGTCCATGCTGGGGACTGCGTGCTTCGGGCATAGGTCTTCGGTCCATCTGCCCCCCTTCGCCCCCCCTTCGCAAGAGGGGGGGGGGGCTTTCGCGCGGCTGTTACCTCGGGCATGCTCCCTGGCGCTCACAGGCGCTCCCCGAGCGTTCCTGGACGCTCCCAGGCGCTCCCGGGCGCTCCCAGGCGCTCCCAGGCGCTCCCAAGCGCTCCCAGGCGCTCCCGGCACGCTCCCAGGCGTTCCCAGGCGGTCTAAAGCGTTCCCCAACGCTACCCGGTACGTTCCCAAGCGCTCCCAGGCGCTCCCAGGCGCTCCCAAGTGTTCCCAGGCGCTCCCAGGCGCTCGCAAGCGCTTCTCAGGCGCTCCCAGGCGCTCCCAGGAGCTCCCAAGTGTTTTTGCGTTCCCCAAGCGCCCCCAAGTCCACTGCCCCTCCCAGGTGCTCCCAAGCGCGCCCAGGCGCTTCCGGGCGCTCCCAGTCGTTCCCAAGCGCTCCCAAGCGCTCCCAGGCGCTTCCAGGCGCTCCCAAGCTTTCGCAGGCGCTCCTACGCGCTCCCATGCGCTTCCAGGCGCTCCCATGCGCTCCCAGGCGCTCCCAGGCGCTCCCAAGCGCTCCCAGGCGCTTCCAGGCGCTCCTACGCGCTCCCATGCGCTTTCAGGCCATGGCGACCCAGTCTGGCAACCAGCTGACGCTTCTCAGAGATGCCCTGTCTCTCGTAGAAGGCGACGGCGATGCGCTGTTGGTTGGGCAGATGCACGACGAGGTGCTCTGGAATTTAGGGTTTAGGGTTTTGGCTCAAGAGGACCCCAAGCGAGAGCCAAGTGAGTGAACGCCCCTACTACACCGCATTGCACACCCCTACCACACAGCTACTGCTCAGCCGCGATGTTATGCTGCGACTGTGGCTCTAGGAAGGGAGAATGCCAGTGCCGGCGCGCGAGGTCCAGGAGCCGCGATAGGCTTGCCGCATGTGCTGGCGCTGGGTCGAATGAGCTGACCCCCGCGAACATCGAGGGTCTGCTGAAGAAAATGACGGAGGATGAGAGGGCGAAGATCAGGGAGACCATCCAGCAAAAGGCGGGCGTCATCAGTGCAGCCTTGAACGGGCGCATCGACGATGTCGGCAGGAAGGTCATTGACGTCGAGAAGCGCACCGCCCAGATCCACCCAGCTTGAAGCCACTTTTCCGCCCCTGGAGACGCAGCTTGCGCCCGGTCGCGCGGGCGGGACGGGTGGGCCACCGCGGGTTCCAGCACAGTTCGACATCGAGGTTTTCTGCGCGTGGGGGGAACGCAAGACCAAGGGCATCAGCAAGCCGGAAGCGGTTAACCTGGTGACTAAGCTGATCGGACTTTAAAGAGAAAACTTCAAGCCGCACGTGGGCGACGCGCAGATTCGAGGACAGCGTGGGCACCGCATCAGAGCGCCTTCCCCGATGGGCACGCGGCACTCGTGGCAGATATCTGGCGAGATGTCCTCGCAGATGAGGCGTACTACTATAACGGTGGCATCAAGCTGTGGGCTCAGACCCAAAGCCCCCCCAGGTCTAGAAGAAGTACTCCATGACAGGGAAGGTCACGGACTGGGCGAAGACCAAATTTCCGCCAACTCACACGGCGGGGACGTGTTGGTCTCCAGACATTGCTGTCTACGCGGAGGGCGGGGATAAGGCCATCTTGACCGCGACCATCGGAGCACCGGCCAGAGTGGGACAACGACGGCCTACAGCTTCTGAACATCGGGGACTTCGCCGCGGCGCACCACCAGCTGCGCTGCTGCAGGCGCGCCCTGCATTAGGACACCTGCAGAGATTGCACGCCAGGATTCGTTGACACGTTCACCGCAATGTCCTGGAACATACGTCGCAGGCCGCAGGGGCGCCTACATGCCATCGCACAGGCTATGAAGGCGAAATCGTTGGGGTCGGCTGTAGTATGTCTCCAGGAATGCACGGGGTGGGTGGGCGGTAGTCTTGCTAATGGTTTCGTCGTTTTCAACGATGCTCGCAGGCAGCCCGACGGGGACATCGCGAAGGGCGTCGACTGCGGCTTCCTCGTCCCGCCCCGCCTGGCACCGCGCGTTTCGGACGTCGTGCATGGTGACTATTGGAGTGGGGGCCTAATGCATAAAACCTGAATCTTGTCTTCCCATTTTCTCG